CCCCAAAACCCCAAAACCCCAAAACCCCTTTACATGCTTCAGTAATTGATCGAGTTTTTGGATTTCCAATGGAGGGGTTTAATAAGATCACCAAGGAATTTAGAGTGAAAGAAAGGGACATAGAGGAAGTTGGAGGGGAAGATGAGTGGGAAGATGAGTGGGATAGGGATTGTAAAGGAGAGAGATAGGATTAAAGGGTGGTTAGAAGGAAAATTGAGAGGAGAGGAAGGGAAGAGGGGATAGAGGTATAAGGGTTTTTGGTAAGTTTTTTAATTTTATGCGATTTTAGATTTAGAAGTGAGTTTAGAGAGTTTTGAAGATATTCTGAGTATATAGAATTGAAATTTGGACTAAATGAAGGGTTTGAAGTTTGTTCTATTTTTGGGATTTTATCAATTATGCATAAAAATCAATATTCTTAAAACTCTCCATAACTTGGCTTGTTCATTGAAAAGAATCTTTGATCATAAAGAATCTGTCATTTATCTGATTAATTTTAATATTTCTAAAGCTGAGAGATTATCTTGTCTTCACACGATTAAAAGTTATTAAAAATTTAAATCATGAATCAATAAAATATAGTATGCTATTATTTTAGCATCCAAAATTTTTGCATGGAGTGCAAACAATGAGCAAATTTATAAACGCTTAGCTCTTAGAGTATGACTTTAATCCCCTTTCAAACTCTCTTAATATATCTCCATTTCATCTCCAAATTCATAAATGTTTCAAATACCTAAAGTACAAATAATCCGATTTCATTAATAACCCAATTTCAGAACCTGAACTATTCCTCACCTAGAGCCCTCCTCCCCCACCCCATCCCACCACCTATCCCCTCCAAAACACCCTCTCCACTTCCCATCCCCTCTCCCACCTCCCCTCTTCCTAGTCTACCCCAATTTCCCCACTAGACGTCCTAATTTCCCAAAATGTCATAACTCTTCAGCCCAGTTGCTAACCTTCTTCGAACAGAGCTTGCAGATGTTCCAGCTATTAAGGAAGCCTACAAGCTCAGGGAGGAGGGTTAGGTTAGGTTTTGGGGAAATTGAAGGAAGAATGTGGGACGTTTAATGAGGGATTTTTGGGACAAGTTAAGGTTTATAGTGGGATGGTAAAATAGATGAGATGTAGTAGTTTGGAAGGTGTTTATTAAGCTTAGCTTCAAACCTCTAATCAGATTTTTACCTACCTTCATCCTTCCATTCCTCTCACATCCTCCAACCCCCTCCCTCCTCATCCACATCCCCTCTCACCCCCTCCAAACCTCCCCACAACCCCCTTCTTCCATCTCCCCCAAAACCCCCCATTTTCCTACTATCTCCCACCAAAGCAACAATCCTTATATCTCTAACTTATTTACATAAACTTATCCAAAGCATCACTCCCGACCACTGAGTCTCGACCAGTACTTCAAAAGCCAGTGGTCCTAGCCAGCCTGCTAGGCTGGCTAGGACTCATGGGTTCTGACCTGGTTGTCTTCGGTGGGTGGAACTCTTTGGAGATATTTTGTACTGACTCTGCGGGCGGTTGAGTTCTCTGAGGAGATGGATGATGTATCGTCACTGGTTAGTTTGGAGTAGATTTCTTTCTTTTGACGAGAGAATTCTGTAGCGAGGATTTCGTTAAAGTCGAGATTGGGGTTTTGGTGGCTGGTAGTGATTTTTGGGGTGTGGGTATTGTCTTTTTGGGTTGTGAGGATGTCTGAGTAGTTCTGAAGCTTGTGGCTTTTAGAAGGTTTGGGAGTTTTGATGTTCTTCTGGGGTTTTCGCTTCTTTTTGAGCAAAACTCTTAGGTTTTCACTAATATCTTGATTTTGGAATTTATCCAAACTAAGTATTTGGTTAAAAGTATCCTCAGTCCGGGTTTTCTTAGAAAGCTTCATATCCATCCTTTTAATAGATGAATCAAAGGAGTAGGGATCATCTTCATTTTCTTTCAAGAAGTCTCAGTTGTCTTCTTTCCTATTAATGCATTCAATATTTCCCATTTTGTGCTAAAGATGATGTTATTGCGTGAAAACTTAGTGGTAGGAACCTAATTATCTCTTAATAGTTAGGCTAGGATCCAAATAGCGTGAAATAAAGCTTACTTGATGTATGTTAAAGGACTTTCGAAGTTGTTATATTAATATTTACAAAATGGAATTCAATAAATATTTTAGTGAGGGGTTTTGGGGTTTTGGGGTTTTGGGGTTTTGGGG